TTGGGGTGCTCGGCAGAGTATACTGTCTACGGGGCCTCCGGGGGGTACGCGGATGGAATGTATTGACAGACATGCTGCATGGCGATGGTGTGGCCTACCGCATGTTGTCTCTTACTCTCTAAGCAACAAGGTCTTGAGTCAACCTTCTTTCTCTTTCGGCCTCTGACGAGCTACCGCACCCAAACTTACCCCGATGTTGTTGTTGTTGTTGTTGTTGTTGTTGTTGTTGTTGTTGTTGTGTTCACATTAAAAACCGTTCCCATCTCTCTCTACCCAGACACCGGTCGCCCCGGTTGTCTAATGGTATCCTCTCAATCCGCTAGTCGAAGAGGTCGCGAGTTCGAATCCCCATGTGGTGAAAATTTTACGAAATATGCGGGTGAAACCGGAATATAGCCAAAAAAAAGCTCTCGTGATTACCAAACTTCGACGTTAGCACCGTTGACGAGGGCAAGGGACGGCTGGACCCTTCTCGCGATAAAAATAAAATTCAGCACGCACCGTAGGCGGAAGGTGGGGCATGAAAAGAAATAAAAAGAAGAACAAGCCCTGGTGTTTACCCCCTCCTGTGTGACCCTGGATGGTTGTTGTATGAAAAATACTCTGAAAAGTGCAGTACTCTATCTACATACATACGCTGAAGAAGTACACGGCTCACCACGAAAAATGGAGGGACTGTCGCCATAATAAATAGGACGAAAACACACAACACACACACCCAGTAACTTCCTTCGTATTATTATGTCCGTACTGATCCAACACTCCACGCGGTCGATTCCCGTGGCCGCAGGCTAACTTACTCGAAGAAGGTACACTCAAATAAACTGGCCCCGAGGGGTCCGCAAGTCAATAGGAACCAACGACAGATATTCTGGAGTCCTCCACTCCCTCTGCGCGCTATGCGAGGTAACAACTGAGACTAGGAGTCACCATCACGGGTCGGAGAGAAAGAGGCACACCCCCTTGGTTCAATCTTGGTACTTCGCAAGGCAAGCAGAGACAAGGCCATCTGGCACAGAAAAAGAAAGAAAAGGCGAAAAAGAGAAGAAAATAGAAGGAAACAAACAGTAATAATAGCTATTGGGCATCGAGTTAATTTGGGTATGACGGCCTTTCTTTACGATCGACTTTTTTTTGTGTGTATGTCTGCATTTATCTGCAATTGTCGGAGGGCAAACAAAATAATAATAACAGTAATAAGGGCCGTTTTATCCATTCCAATTTTTTGGCGCCAAATGTTTGGAACCGAACTGTGGAGAACACCTTCATAAAGGTTGAAACTCCCCAACGTCTGTTGAGGACGAAACCCTCTTTTCCACATTAAATGGCGTCGGCGAAGAAATGTCATGTGTCTGCTTTTGGTTGCAAAAGACACGGTTTCAAAACCCGCTCCTTACCTCATTTTCTTCCGGAGTACGGAAAATAAAAAGAAAATCGGTGGGTGGGCCATAAAACGATGCACTAGCTGTCTATCGAACTCGAAACTTCTGGCAATGCGTGGTCGAAGTGGCGCACCCGCAACACGCACAGAAGGTTGTTGGAAAAAAGGTGGTTCTACTCGCCGCCAGCCGGTCGGGTTCCGGTTACCCCAAGAAGATTTCTCTTGCCTAGCAATCAAGAAGAAGCCTCGAAAAAGGGGGGGGTGATGTGGAGAACACCTTCATAAAGGTTGAAACTCCCCAACGTCTGTCGAGGACGAAATCCTCTTTTCTGGCGCATCGTCGGCGCTACACACCCCGCAGAGGCGGCAGGCGGCGACAGCACGGCGCTGGAAATGGTCGGTTTTCTGGAAAAAAATATTGCGAAGATTATTAGAACCGAGATGGCTGAATGGGACAAGAGTCCCCTTTCTTTGAGGGACAGCCCGCGGTCCCTCCCCGATTCCACATGTGCAAGAGCGATCGATTGTGTTTTAGCGCCGGTTGGTGTAACATCTTTCGTGTGTGGGCGGGGGAGGGAGGGGGCAGATCGCTTTCACTTGCCATACCGTTTGTCTTTTGTCGGGTGTGTGTTTGACGAGTGCGCCACGTGTAGAATAGGCATGGAGAACGCGTAGCGCACGCTTGCTTGATGTTCGATGTTTTTTTTTAGCCACGTACAACTCTCTCCTTTCCTCCCCTCGCTCCACGACAAGCTTTTGCTTAGACATGGGTTGTAGCGAAGGGGGGGGTCTTTCTGGCGAGCAGGGCTAGACTCACCCTCAAGGGATGACCGAAACCTTCTTGCTGCTAGTTGGGTCGGCACTGATGGGGTCAGGCGGGAAAATGTAGATGCGCGGGCCTTTCTGGCCGTCGGCGTAGGTAGTGATGCCCATCTCATTTTGTGCGCGGAGGCAGATACCATCAGAGAGGTGGACGGACACTACACGGCCCTAGGTTTGCTAGAGGCAGCTGTATTGCCTCAGTAACCTGGCTTCGCCATCAAAGGAGGAGGGAGCAGGT